CTATAATCAGACACTACAGCCTTTCGTAATACAATCAGAAATTCGATAACTGAGAACAGCACAACAAATGCAGCAACAATAACACAAAATCACATTCTGCACCAAGGGGAAAACTGTGACCCTTATGAGAAAGAATGTAAATGTAAATGTGCTACCGCCTTAGCACATTTCGCGTCCGAAATCACTGAACCAGAATGCAGAAAGGTCTACTCCCTAGTGCATTTAATCGATATTCTTTCAGAAGCACACGGCATATACAAAACGAAGTAATGAAAACTCATAATCACTACGATATAATTTTCCTATGATGAGTGCTATCCCACGCACTCTGCTCCTTTTATGCAACAAAATGACATTAACAATGATCAGCAGGAAGATATAATAGTGCGAAAAGAATCCAGGCATTACAAAGCTTGAATCTCATAACCTGACGTCTGTTTTGTGGCTCACTGCGCACCGTCTAAATGCACAGAGTAAGTGGTGCCACACGCCGAAAACGTGACTTAGAGATGAAACGAAAAATATATAAAATATCTTATGGAAAAAGGTGGCAAATAGGGTAAGAAATCAGTTTCGAACTCCGGTGCAAGGGTTCGAATCTGGAAACAATTCTGTTAACCGATAATTCCACCGCTGTATTTGTGGAACTCAAAATCACACAGGTAACATGTCGTGCTCTGGTGTGGTTACGCAAGAACGGACGATAGGTACGGCCATGCTGTCTGATGTGGGCGCCTCTTAGAGCTGCAGTTCGCTTTTACCCACTTCACGGCTTAATATTCAGTGTGGTGATAATAAGCACAAGTTTTAAACCGCAATACGTAATAAACACATATAAATTATATAAAACATTTGACGAACGCGACCACTTGATACTGCAGGGTAATAAAGTTACCGTCATGACATGTTTCAAAGCCAAACCACTTCGATACACGTCAAACGGCAGCAACAACTTCTGGTAATGGTCGCGGAGAAGCGAGGCCCGCACCGGTTGGATGGATAGCGTCCTAGCAACCGATCCCCAAAGCTTTTCCTTTGTGCATCGTTCGAAGCCGCCCATATTCTCTACAACCTACAACGAAGTGGATGGTAAATTAATAACAGTAAATAATAGGAAAAAACGAATAATTTACGAACAACCTACACCTAAAATGGGGCTTCATTGGTTCCAGACACAAGTAAATAAGTGGATGGTAGTCGATAACTTGTTGTTTGTTGTCAGGATTGGCAAAGTTTCGCTAAAAGGCAGACAGACTATCATCTGTCCTTCCATTATCTATAAGCGCTGATGCGCCTTTTCTTCTGAAGAAGGCACAGAATTGAAAACTGGTGAGTTTCAAAAAATTGATCTTCAGCTTATATGGCCCCATTTCAGGCAATTTCAAAATGATCAGAGAAAATCAGGACAATATTCGATATCCATTACTTCCATGGTATTCTTTTTTATTACGGGACTGCTTCGCACATATCCCTTAATGATAAATGAATAATAATGATAGGGTAACACACCTGGTAAAGTGTCGAACTCAGAACAGAAAGGTTCCGGACTGGCTATTCAGTCGCCTCATTCGCCATTCTCTCTTCCGAGGCAGATAAGTGTGCACCCTAACGTGTGAACAATTATGCCAGAAGACCTTCTGGCTAGCAAACAGTCAACTGTGCGAACGACCAACTACAAAAGGCCTTTTGTCATTTTACTCTGAAGACGGACCGAACTTGGTCTGAAACGTCAGATGTCCCTGATTAAAGAACATTTTGTGTGTTGTCTTCCCGTTTATGACTCACCTAAAGATTATATCACCTCGTGCATGAAGAAACCATGTATGATTTTCAATAATGTTTATGTTGTTATATACATCACTGAAATTTGAACATCTTTAAGTACACGAGTGTAG